TCTCTCGTGTGTGTGTGTGTGTGTGTGTGTGTGTGTGTGTGTGTGTGTGTGTGTGTGTGTGTCTTTTAAGCAGTCTGGTCAGGAATGTCTATTGCTATTCTCATTTCAACAGACATCCAGCGCTTGGGTTTCTTAAGAGCCAACTAATCATCAGCACTTACCCAATAGGCTTCTCCTGGAAGCATTTCTATTTATGTCATTGCTACCAACACCCATGCATCTAGTGTGCTAAAAAATGATGATGGCATCACTATAATTTCTCTTCCTTTGTGTACTTTTTAAAGTTCTTCACCGCCAGTCAGTCCAAACATCTACCATTCTTTTCAGCCAGTGTTTTCTTTTTTCTTTTACTATTTTATACTTTATAGTTTCAGGCTCCCCCTGCTTTGTATCTAAATTATTACAATCTTCAAAACTGTTCCTCTTTCTATTAATTCCATGTACTATGCCAAGTTAATTATCTTCAAACTTAATTGTACTCCTTTCCCTTGCTCAGAACTTTCAGTCACAGCTGATTATCAGACTCCTTAGGAGTCTTAGGATTCTGGCATGTTTGATTTGCCATCGTTTCTTTTACATATGAAATATCCTAATTCATATTAAGCAGTCAGTTTTACTTTCACTTCTGTAATTCATTTGACCATGGATGTTGAACATCTACTGTGTTACTGGATAGGAGGCACTGTTTTAAGTCCTGGGAATGGGTATACATGTGCAAAAGAGAAGCAAGGTCTTACCTTTCACGGAGGCCTCATTCACTTTATATGGCTTCTCTGTGGTGCTGAATTCTAGTCATACTTCAGGTTGCACTGAAAGCCTGTCTTTGAAGACTGTGGTGACTTTACCTTGCTCAAAATTCTCTCTCCTCTGAATGCCCCATAGTTTACTTTTCTTTTTTCTTTATATGTGTATGTGCATATGTGTGTATGTATGCATATATATATAAAATATATGGCAATCATCACATTCTTCCTTGTATTATTTTTTTTCTGATGTGAATTATGGGCCTTTAAAGACAAGGATGCCTTTTTGTCTTTGTATGCTCTGAAATACAAAGCATATTGTATTTCATGACGGTAAGTCTGACTGTACTAAAAGTTAACCATTTATCTCTTTTACTCATGCCCAAGGCATGTGGTATACCAGGGATCAGCTGGAAATGCTTCCTTGTTCTCTGCTTTTTTCCTGAGTTTGATGTGTAACTTCTAAGCCTTATTGACTTTGATGTAGCCATCATCATCTAAGTCAGCAGTTACCAACCTTTGGGTTACAGCCCCTATAGGGGTCAAACAACCCTTTCACAGGGGTCACCTAAGAACATTGGAAAACACAGATATTTACACAGTAGCCAAAATTACAGTTATGAAGTAGTACTGAAAATTATTTTATGGTTGGGGGTCACCACCATATGAGGAACCCTGTAAAGGGTTGCAGCATTAGGAAGCTGGAGAACCATTGATCTAAGTAAATACGTCTGCAATATTTAAACGCTTTAGAATTCATGTTTGGAAAACTTTTACATGTCTATAACCGTAAAACATGTGGTTATAAAATATATTTGGTTACTCCATTTAATCTTAATGATTACTTCAAGCATCAATCATTCTAACATAGGCTAAGTTTTGGAGCTTCGTCTCACACTGTTCCTTCTCTTTCCTAGGAAAGGTATGGTAATAACCATGTGGAGCACTTCTGCCATCAGTGGAAAGTACAGTAATAACCATGTACAGAGCTTTGACCACCAGTGGTTTATAGACGTTATTTTGGCTGTTCTCTAAATAGACCAGTAGAATACATAAAGTGGGTATTATCTCTATTTTAAATATGATAAAACTAAGGGACACAGAAGATAAACTCACATGAGGCTACATAGCTAATTAATGAGAAAAAAAATTCCAAGCTTATTTAATCTGTGGGTATGGCCATTATTGTATGTTTTTCGTTATCTGAAATAATTATCCTTTTTTTTCCTTAGTGAAAGAAATGATATCTTACGAGAAGCTGAAATACTACATAAAGCTAGATTTAGTTACATTCTTCCAATTTTGGGAATTTGCAATGAGCCTGAATTTTTGGGCATAGTTACTGAATACATGCCAAATGGATCATTAAATGAACTTCTACATAGAGTAAGTACTGTTTGTTTCCAATAACTACAATTACTATTTAGTCTGCTCAACTATATATAGTATTTTGTTCTTCATTCAGTCACATTACTCTGTAGTATATAAATGAATCAAGTAAGAATATGAAGCACCATGAACTGATGAACTTTACCTTTTGTGTCTTTGTTTGTGTTGGTACAAAGTACTGTGGAGTTGGGCTTGAATTCAAAGGTCCTAGAATATTTCGCATAG